TTGTAAACTTCACATCTTTCCCAAGCATGCACGGCAACTAACAAATAATAAAGAAAAGGAGATTGTTCGAGAATCATGATCGTGTATGCCCTGAAGAGCTATGGCATAGCAAAATGAACGAGAATGAACTGTAGGTCATAATGTTTTAAAGATGGCGTGAAGGTGTAACGTGAAAAATAATTTTGATAGGTTATAATAAATTTAATCAAATATAATAATCACATATTTGTAAAAGAAATATGATAGATTTTGCTGTGAATACTTTCAAATAAACAGGATAACCTTCTTTTTAATTCTACTTGTACCAGCATAAGTCTATTTCGTTTACGTTTGCTTCTATGCCGTCGTCGCCATTACAAATCTCTCATCACGAATGTCATAACAGCCAAGTCTGTTAAAACAGTCATCATCATGAAGGAGTGAACAAATTATCATGTTCTTTCACTATATTAATCATAATTCGTCATATTAGCATCGTTAGTTTCTATTTTGTTCATATTAAAATTGTTAATTCAATTCGAACATAAAAAAGCAATCAAAAGATCAAAATCTCCATGCATCGAATCACGACACTAAGGAAATATGTTAATAATAATTTCTATAGTTTCAACATGAAAATATAAAAACAAAATAATGAACGACACCTACTCTTCATTCTTTCACGTCTGTCTTCTCTTTTCCTCCATTTTTTTCATTTAAAGTATGCCACATCTTTAATTAATTTTCTCTTTTCCATATTTTCCTTCCGCGTTTTATTTATTTGGCTTTGCCATAAAACTTTTAAATTGTCGTCTGTAGTCACGATATTTTCGAAATCCATGTAATTGCGATTTGCAAAAATAAAAAAATAAACAAGAACGCTTCCTAGCAATGATTCCATTGCACGTTCAAATTAATTCATTTTTCACATTAAGAAAAAATATTTTCCCATTTTCAATTTTTGACGCGACGCCATAGTCACTTGAGAGCTGTCCGTTGAACTTGCAAAGAAATCAGTATTTTTTGTCACTAAGATTTTAACAGTCTTTGTGCTAATAAGCAGCTAATAAATCGCGAACATCCAGTGATAACATGCTAAATATATGTGTGTAGAAGCCGACATGAATCTACCCTTAATTTTTCCTTGTGAATTGATTTTAACGCCCCGGGTATTAGTCGACCTCAAATTTCACGTGATTGGGGAAACATAAAATCATGTCATTTGAATCGATCAGATGAAGCACTAAATTATTGCTAATTACCGACTGGCATCTCTTTCATCTTAATTTCGATTCTATCTAGTATTGTTTCTTAGCAATATGGGTCAGAAATTTAAAAAAAAAGAGGCTCTGGCAAAAGTTGAACTTGCATCCCTTGTCTATGAAAACAGATATTTAGTTAAACCGGTGCATACGCAAAGCTAAGATCTTTCAGCGAGAAACATTAAGAAGTATTTTGTTTGAGAATAAATTCCTTACCAAAATAGAATCACAACTCACAAAAATTTAAATTTGCTCAGTCAACCTTTTTTTTACCATAACAAAATGGAGAAAATAGTCCAAATATTTAATGAAGGAAAAACAACACAGAGATTTCGTAAAACGGTTTCAAAAGAACACTGTACACTCAAATATATTAGATACATGTAACGGGACGAAACGAATTCACTTCTCTCTTATGCGTCAAATAGAAATCGTTTTTTTCTCTAATCGAATTTACTCCATATAAGGCAGTAAAGCCACTAAGGCACAAGGGGTTATTGAGTTTGGGAGAATTAAAAATATAATTGTTATTGAAGAGCGAAAACAATAGAAGAGTAATCAGGAAGACAATAGATAACGATTGACATTACATTTAAATTTTTAAAGGTCAAACTTGTCTAGAAAGCTAGAAACAAAAAAAGAGTTCCGAGGGAAGAAACGGTTATATCTAGCCAATCATCTATAAACCATTAGGATCTTGCTGGTAATCTAGTACTGTGCTTAATTCCATAGAGTTTAGTCACCATAACAAAATGCTTATCTGAATAATTGCCATGAAATTATTTATAAAAGAAAGGCGCAGGAAAGCAACTTTGCATGGTGTAAAAAAGAATCTTTAAATATACACCCTTGTGCAAATTAATTGAAACAACCGCTTTAGTTTCCTTTCTTTCAACATAGAGTCAGTTACAGTGAGAGGGGATAATCAATTTCTATTTTTTCCTAATATTAGGTTATTTGCAGTGGTGTGCAGTAATATAAATCTATTTTCGGGATGTGAGATGGAATTTGTTTGGCCTTGAAAAATATTGCGCCATACGTGATTGCATCAGATTTTCATCACGCCCAAACACTGCTGTCTCGACCGTCGATTAGTTGTCCTAATGCCATTGTCTGCGATGGACGTTACTCCAAGGAAGCGTACGAAAATTGTAAAGCTGCACGAACACACTGGCAAGCCTTACCAATGAGAAAAATCAAAGTACTATAGCTTGGCCCAGAAACTCTCCTGATTTAAATCCAATCGAGAATCTGTTGTCAATCTGCAAGGAACGACTTCGTGGAATGGACATACAAAGTACTAACATGTGCACTGACACATGTTTCATTAGAAAAATACGAAAAAAAGTAAATAATAACGGAATTATTCGTTTTGTATCAATTAATTTGCACAAAGGTGTATAAGAGAAACACTGAACAATAGGTAACGTCAATATTCAATGTATAGACGAATGGTAGTGCTATAGATATGTAAGATAGATTAGGTGAGAAAAACTGTCTATCACGACACAGTGAACCAACTTTCTTGGCAACAGAACTAACAATAGATTCAATATAGTTTGTCCACTTCTTGTCGGCCGAGAATGTTAGCCCGAGTAGACGCAACAAATTACGCTCAAAGAGGACAGCATCAGCCATCATGACAAAAAGCAGAAAGGGGTCTCTCAGATGACGTAATTTAATCCAATCATTCCTAACTGATCGGGAAATGAAGGTCGTCATGAACGGGTTCTCTTCCAGTTCCTTTCATACTAACGCGGTTGTTCCCTAAAGGTTTTATTCCAAGTCTTACACTGTTTCTGATCTTCATCAATGATCTCTCTGATGTCATCAGTTCCCAATTAGGCATCTATGCAGGTGACACTACCATTTACTCCGGTCTCAATAGTAACCCCAGCAGCACTGTCAAAGTTGACCTGACCGCTGCTCTCGAAAAAGGACTTCCACTCAGTGGTTGCCTGGGACAGGAAATGGCTTGTAAATTTGAATACCACCAAAACTAAACTGCCCTATCTTAACCACCATAGAGAAACGTCCCTGAACCCATCGGCATGGTTGATGCTCGTCTCCGTAAGAACGTTTCAGTACGCCTTCTTGGTCTAACGTTTTCAACTACAACTACATTGAATCAATAGCTGCGTCTACTGCAAGGAAAGTTGGTTCATTGTGTCGTAACAGAAGTTATTTCTCTTCCATTTTACACATCTACAAATCTGCCATTCGTTCTTGGGCTGAGTACTGTTGCCATAACGGTCTGATCCTTCAACCGTTCATCTCGGGGTTCTCGTCAAAATTCAAAGAAGGATCTGTGATGTAATCGATCCTGACCTGGCATCTCGACTTCAGACACGGGATGTAGCTTCCCTCTGTCTTTTTTACAAATATTTTCATGTTTACTGCTTTGATGAGCTTTTTCCCTGGTCTCCTGACTACATGGATTTAAGCATGCTACTAGATTGGCAACTAGGTCCCACCCATTTACTGTTGAAATAGTTAAATGCAACCTTTACTTTTACTCCAAAAGTTTCTTTCCTCACACTTACCGTCTTCTCACTTGCTTCCGTGATAACTAAAATCTTCAAAGATTTAAATGAAATGCCAATTGATACCTTCCTTTTTTCCTTTCCCTAATTTTCCCTGCTCCTTTCTCTCACTTTCACTCTCAAAAAGCCCCTGTGTACTAGTGGCACTCCTGCCTCGCTTGGGGTGAAATACTCAAAAACAATAAATAAATAAAAAAAAAATAAATGAATAAAAAAAAGAAAAAAAAGATTAATAGAGAGCAGTTTTGTTTTGGGGCGTTAAAATTAACAAGCCATCTTTAACCAGTTAACAATAGACTGTAGGTCATTTTTTTTTTATAGATCAGACGCCAAATGCGTAAACATTCACTAAAATGTAGCAAATATTAGGTTGGTGCAAAAATAATGACGTAATAATGTCGTTTTTTGACGTATTTTTTAACGTCAAAAAACGACATTATTACGTCATTATTTTTGCACCAACCTAATAATTATCTTTCGTCATTGGTACGTTAAATGTGTCTTCATCTTCATGAAGCTGCACGCTGGGAGTCTTAGACATATGCACAAACCAATCGCTTACCTTGTTCTCAAGCTGAGGTTTACGTTGAATATGTTCCCGGGTCTAGAACGATTCCGGAAAATAGCCTTTCAACGGGTTTTATTCCCAGAGAAGGAAATAAGAATTGGTAGTTCAGAAAGATAACGGCTCGGATTGAAGAATCAGAGAGATGAGTTCGAATTCCAGTCGAATCTATTACATTCACTTATATGCTAATAACCTTAGGAAAGGTATGAATCCTCTTCTTATCCCTCCAGCTATGGGTAAATAACAGGACAGACCAGGTTCTATAGCTTTGGATGGCTACTGGCCTACCGTAAAAGGAAATGACAACCTACTGCGAGAAAAAAAATCTGCCTCTTCAGTCATGTATCAAAAGATTCATGATCGCCTAAGCGTGTATCACGCATGGCACATAATTGACTGAGTTTAGAAATGCTTAAAATGTCAGTTCCTCACTTGCCAGTTCTGAAACATAAAACCGCTTTCTCATATCAATGGTTAAAATAGCTTTTTAATTTAGTATTTAATTTTAAATTTAGTTTTAAATTTTAGTTTTTAATGAGGACCTTCCTTCGATTAAACTCTTAGGTTGGTGTTGCAAAAACAACAATCTGTACGACATGACATCCATTGTGGAATTTCAACAGCATCAATGGATCTCACAAATCCCTA